AACCGTATGCATTATTACTGAGAAAATGTAAAACGTAAGTTCTCTTGTACAGTATTTTGTAGTGAAGTATCACGTCATGAAAGCTGGAATATTTTAATCATATGACCTACCATTTGTTACATTTCTTCTACAACATTTTCGTATTAACGCTGTAGTTTTTGTCAATTTTAAATCCAAGTTCTATAACACATGGGACGTGAAATACACGGTACATGAAAGTTATCTACACTAAAATAAGGTTATAATCAGTATTTACACACAAATAATCCTACCTAAATAAATATGAAAGAGCAAATAAAAACCAATTGCTGAGCCATTTATACATAATGTAGCTTCTTTCAAATAATACCAACACCGTTTGTTTTATAAAATATTCGTTATAAAGATTAAAGCTTTTGTACATTATGGATCTGGATCACGGAATTGGTTTCTTCACGTTGGTAAGGAAAAACGACATAAATAGTCAATGTTATGGTTGTGAGGGTAACGTATTGGAGTAAATATTGAAATTCCATGCCAGGTGGTATAAAAACAAAAGACAATAGATAAATCAAAAATAATATTGCATGATATGTCATCAAATAATTTCATTAAGATTATTGCAGAAAGGTGAAGATATCAATTTACAATAACTACATCAATAACTTTAGTGGGACTACAACCACATGAAGCACGTTTTTCGTACTACTAGTAAAGGTTTTGTAATATAATATTGCACTTTATATCTCTTACTAACGATTAAACCATCACTCAAAATATTAAAACAAAACTCAAAATCCTCCAAATCTACCAATAATTTTAAAAAATACACGTGAAATTATTTAGATATCATGTATTGAGAAATAAATTTCATTAAGATTCAAAAATTAGTCTTTAATAATGTAGTTGTAAAATAAAATGGGAAAAAACTTGCAATATAATTAAATTGTATAATTAAATTACTTTCGTGAATAGAAAACTTTAATTTTTGGGCCGATGTTAACTAAGTTGTCTAGTTGGACAACGGTTGTACGTAAAAATGTTTCTTAAATATTGAAAGAAATATTTGCTTATTGCACCTAGGCTTGAAAACTACCGCTCTTGCTATTTTCGAAATTCTAGAGGATGTAATGCAAATCGCATTAATACCATAATTTATTAAGAAAACGTTGCTATATTTTAAAAAAGGCATCAAAACTAGAGACGCTACAGCAGCACACACTTTCTCGCATTATTTCTACGCATTTTGCAACATTAATCTACTGCTTAAGCATTAACCAGCAGAAATTATTTTCCGCACATATTACACTCGAACTTAGATCCTCTGCGTTAACACGCCGTCAGCTATACCACTACGCTACAGAAGTGCCATGTGGTTCGAACTCGGGCCGACGCTTAAAAATGTAATTGTGTCCACTCATTATTTCCAACACGCAATTTTTGCAATTTTCGAAAATACGGGTAGTTCGCCAAAAACAGGACAAGCACCCTATTGTTTACTATCTCTTGATTGATTCAAGGATATAATTTCAAGAGAAATGGAACGTTTTTATAAAAAAATTAATTAAACATTGCATTTGGCGCAAAATTACACGAAAACTGCTCATATTTTCGAAAAAAATGAACATTACTTTTCACCAATATCTGTCTTTAAAGAACAGATTTCATTAACGAAAGAATTACTTGATATTGTAATTGTAGGAAGAATCTCCAAAACTGCACATTTCCAATTTTCGAAACCTAGGTCATTAGCGACCACTATTGGTTTCAACGTTATGGATAACAATGATTAGATGAAATGACATGGTGGTGATGGTAGTTGAAAGATCATACACAAATTTAATTATGCCCCTAGGCGGGACTCAAACCGGCGATCTATTGGCCGGCGCGTGATTCCAGATTTGTTATGAGTTTTACAAAAAATGATGACTGAGATGTGATAATTCGGATATAAATTGCGGTAAAAATAATATTACGTAATCATTAGTCTGGGCGAGAAAGTATGTACTATTTTAGCACCAGTAGTTTAAGTTCAATTTTTCGGATTCCTAGAAGTAGAACTGAAATGTGACTTCAAGAATATTTCAGAAGAGTAAAACATGGTTCTGTATTTTCATCGGAAAAATTGAAGCTGTTCTTGGAAAACTATAGTTTGGCCGTTTTTGGAAATGCGCCAATTTTCTATCATTTTCTCAGAAAAATTTCAAGTTTTTGAGAAACTTTGCAAATGAAAATTTTGGACTTACAAGTAACCACAACGCCGCAGTAAATTTTAAAATTTTTAACACATTCTTGATGACACAGTCGACCGTGGGTTTGTATTCTTTTGCATGGGGATAACACGCGTTACAAGTCATAATACAAGTAATAGTCGCGTGCTAAGGCCGTTTGGCGGTTTCCAGCCGTACTCGGCGAGAGGTGCCATTAGACTTACCTCACCACAGTATGAACTAGTATCGTGAGTGAAACGGGGCGGTGTTTTTAAGTGCGTTGCGTCCTGGTTATTGAACGTCTTTACTGACATTTTATTTGTGATAATAGTGTATATTAGGTATGGGAGAAATTGAAGATATCCTGCATAGAATCAAAAACAGTTTGGTTCCCTGAAATTTAAAGAGAAACTTTATAGACCGTTTAGGTCTAAGGCCGTTCCTGCTAGCGATTAACAAATTTGACAGTGAACAAAAAACACATAATTTACACCAGATCGTTTCCGTGGTCTAGTACCTCTAGAAGTGGCTCAGTGTAAGTGGGTGTTTATCAAAACTCTTTTGTTGACCATGCCTTATATTTTCAAAAGAGACCAGTGAAAAGGGTTGAGTGTCAATTAGATTTTGTAATATAAGTAGCCTTACAATATCGGCTTAAGTCCATGAACAATTAGAAAGAAACCTTCAATACATAGTGGACTTACATATATGTGGAAAAGGAACGATATAAAAGGTTACATTTAAAGTCAATAATACATTACATAACCAGAAGCGAATTGAGAAGTTTTGATGTGTTAATCTGATGTTACGTGCATTCCAGCAAAACATGAACTTCCATTTCGCGGTCACAACGAAAATTCACATCCAGATACATAATATTATCTACTTCTTATTATTAGTGATTGCTAAGAGTGAAACAATTTTAAAAGAAACGGAAATCTCATATATTTTTTAAAATTATTGTAGATGAAACATTAAATATTAGAAATATACCTCTCTTGTCAACAATTTAGAGGTATATGCATAAGGGGAAAGGGTACGTTAAGGACAGGTTTATTGGATTTCCTGATGAACTAACTGCTGACAGAGCATCTGTTAGGTAACTTCATGTAAAAAATGTTGACAAAAAGTGTAATGTAGAAACCAAATTCATTGCTCAAACTTGCAACAGTGTGGCAGTTATGTCAGGGCAAATGGGTGACTTGCAAAGGAAGGTCCATACCCTAATGCTTTGGGTGTCCATTGATATGTACACATATTGAATTTACTGACACTAGGAATGAATGAAATATGAGTGCAATATATTTCTTCTTTGATTGGCATATCTATTGCTCTTCACATTACAGCACGAGAACATATGCAATTCAGGAGCATTAAAAAAATATTTTTTCTACCTATGTGGTGTTTTACATCTCGCTTAATGACAGTCAATTATTGATTTTTCTCCATTACTCGTGAGAACGATGATTACTAGGGAATACTAGATGATGAAGGGATCGGATAAATGCAGTGCATATGGCTTTGTAAAATTTATGCGAAGCTTTGAAACTGTTTCTTTTTAACACACTTGCTCCTTTCTTTAGAAACACTGACTTAATTGTTGACGTCTGTTGGTAAAAAATGTTGATCTAATGATTTGTTTGTATGTAATTAGAGATTTTGAAGAGGGATTAAAGTTGTTTAGGACTTTTGTAAAAAGAAGTGGAAAAAACCGTTTCGGGAGAGGACAAACGTGATAAGTGTGAACGATAAGATTCAGAAAATAATTCTTTTAAAGCGACATTAAGAATTAATAGTACGGATGTACTATAGGAAACGAAATAAAAATGAAAAAGAGAAATTACTCCTTTTTAAAACATTGTTAAAGTTCACACTTTGGTTTCCTCTGGAAAATGTTTGTTTTAAGAAATCAAAGCAAAGCAATATTTTGTATGATGTATATTATCAACAAGTTTTCTATGAAAACTAAGATAAGAAGGTAATACAATAGAAAATTTGAGAGGAATGTGGCTCTTGGTTGAGGGCGAGGGCGTGGGCGTTGGCGCGGGCGTTGGCGGCGCTGGGGGCGTTACAGCGAGGGCCAGCAGCCGGAGTCCCTGTGGCAGCACAGGACACGCGGGGTCATTCAAAGCATCATCGATTAGGCGAAATTTATTCCCTTTTTTATATTCAGTTTAATTCAATGATGCCTTATTTTACTTGGCAAGACTCAGGCCAAAAGGCATGTTCTTCCACGACCTCGCAAATTTCGCTACTATCCTTTCACCATCTAGCGGAGAAAGAAGGTATTATTCGGGCGACGAAACAGGAGATTTTGAATTTAGCGCAGGGGCCGCTCTTAAAAGCACGTGACTGCACTGGAGTTTGAACTCGCGAACTTGAAAATGACAACCCAATACGGTAACCGTTATACCACTGAAGCTCCAAAATCCATTTATCTATAACGACGACAGTCGCCCGAGAGAAGAGGTAGCGTTCACATCGCGCTCAGCAACTCCAGTTCTCAACGCAGAGGTCACTTCGCTAGTGCTAAGTGGCGAGAGCAGAGAAACGACCAACGAATACTCACTTAGTTTTGTATAGAGTGTTAAACACAACATACAATAAGTGCGATCAGTTAGTGATTCAAAGTTTATGGTCTCGTCTTGGCCAGAACATCACCCAGTGGTCAACAATGTCATTAACGCGCTTGGTTTACTGACCTCCACGCTATTGCAGTGTTCATGAATCATAGTTTAGTTTCATGGAAACCAATTAAAAATGTTCTAAACACGTTAAAATCCCAACGAAGGTGAAAAAACAACCACGGAAATGGTAGAGTATACACTATCTATCCAACAACTAGAATATCTTCAAAAATTACAAAACATCCAGCGTCAGGCAGAACAACGATGGGAAATGATGCAAGAACGAAACGGCTTCTTGAGCAGGATATAATTCTTCAGTTGCGACAGCATCAATATTCACTTCCGCAGATAATCCCACCAACAAAACGTAAGTAGAACAGTGTTAAATTATGGGTTCAATTATCAAAGTAAAAATATTTAACTTCTTCGAATATTTTTGTGACAAGTGTATTGAAATATTTTACTGTGGTGAAAATGATTAATGTATTTTACCTGTTTAATTACAGGATATTCGTTACCGTTTTCTTTATAACCAAAAATTTCTAAGTGTCATTTACTAAGGTGAACTGTCAGTGTAAGTTCCCTTTTACAAAGTAGTTGTGTATTTGGACGATAGAAGCAATCTTGCGAAGATTCCGGGCATTTTTTAAACATTTTAAGTTCGCTTCTCTCCATTACAGTCCGAGCGACCCCCTTTACACACGCCCCTCCACTGGTGACCGTTACTACTGGAAACATTGGACCCTTACTAAATCTTAAATCTTTCGCCCTGGGATTGCCCTTAGATCCTTTTTCAGTAGGACTACGCAAATCATTGTTTTAAAAATGAAAATGACTTCAAATTATAACACAGTCAAACGGCCCGGCTCTGTTCTTTGTACCACGGGTCTAGAACAGTGTATGAGTAAACATTTCAGTATTGTTAAGTGTTTATTTACAAGTACAAATATTTAGACCCTTAAAATCATTTTTAGTTACGTTCCCGAACATACGAGTGTCGGCAAGATAACAAAGAGGTGAGATCTACATTCTTAAAATTGGTAATTTAAAAAATGAATCTTATCTAGAAATATCTTTCTAAGTTCCAAAACCATTATACAATTTTTGAAAACTTAGTAAAAGAAGAAGTTGAGCTTTTTGGTAAGACGCATTAGAAGGATAGACAAGATCACATCCGAATATGATAGGTCTGGTGAAGAAACAGATATATCCAAACAGGTATAGAACTCTTTCCTCGGATACACCTCGGAAGAAATGGAATCTCATCTTTAAGATAACCTACAGTGGTAGAATAGTCATGTTTTTAGGTGATGCTAACCTTATATCAAGTACCAGAGTATTGTCTAAGACATACACAGAGGAAGTCATTCCAGGCAATAATGAAACCATCAGAGTAGTATCTTCCTCATAATATTAACAATAAATGATTCCATTACTGTTTCGGATTCAAAAGTGTAGATTTCCATAGAAAGTATGGTTTTGTTGTAATTTCCTATTTCGAATGTCAATTCGACTGTATGTTAACAGAACCTTGAGCGCATTTCCAAAACTACAAACGCACCACAAAAAAGGGTGGTCGTTAGTCGTTTTCAAAAAAAGCAGTTGTGATAGTCTGGCTGACTGAGATTCTGACGATCTAAAATTGGGCACGATCCCAGGACCTCGCACAACATAGGTTCGTCGTAATATACACTTCATTTTCGTCAATTCAAAAATTGTGATTTATTCAATCATAACTTTTTTGATTTATCGTCGTTTTGTTGAAATAATTACGTTTTTATTAGGCAATACTTTGAATCTCAGCGTTTTGGCTCACTTTGAGCACAATTTTCTGTATACCGTTGACAGAAGTCGACAAGAAATTTCTGTGCTGTAAGCAAACTATAGTCTGCTAAGAGTTACTGATGATACGATTAGTGGAAGTGATATTTTATTTTACGATTAGTAAAGATTGCGAGATGAGGCCGGCAGGTCGAGTTGCGCAATTCTACAAGGAAAACAATAAGTTTTTTGTACTTGTGACATACAAAATTATTAAGACGGACTTATTAATTTTATATTTATTCTAATTCATATATCACTTAATTGTATTCTTTGTTACTCTGAGATTCGTCTGATTGCATCAGCAGCTTCGAAAGTATGGTTCTCTTTGTTATAGTCATACTGTTTGATCTAAATATTTAAACATCGTCTCACTTTTAGTGCAAATACTAAAATTGGGTCTTTTAGCACGCCATGTATGTCCTAAAAGTAACCAATGGCTGTCTAAAACTGTCATTAGAAACTGTTAGCTACTTGGCTGTTTGGGAGACGTCATGTCCTAGGCATTCATGCAAACGTTTCGACCGCCATTCTGCGACCTTCCTCAGGGCGAAATGTAAAATGGAGTAAGACCCAAGAGTGGCGATCGAAACGTTAGCACCCGTGCCTAGGCCACGGCGGTTTCTAGTCATCCTAGTTAGCCAAGTAGCTACTGTCTCCGGCCGTGAACGCCTACACTCTCATTAGACACATTCGTTCGTGAGTGGCGAGGTTGGCTCACCTGACGGAGGGCGCGACGCGGGCGGCCACGCGCGAGGCGACGGCAGCGGGGGACGGCGGCTGCACCAGCGAGCGCCCTCCCGGGGCCCCAGGCGGCGCCACCGCCCTGCGCACACCGCACCCACAAGCACATTAACTTCGTCGCATGCGAAAGCTGCCGTCTGTTCTTACTTTTCCGTATACATACGTATATTAGGCGTAATATACGTAGTATATAGAAAGTTATGTGGAAAATCAATTTCGAGATTTCAACGGAAATACACGCTTTAGGGTTCCCTAGTACCGAAAAAGAAATGTTTTTTTATTTTTTTTCAAAACGTTCGTCCGTTGGTTTCTTTTTCTGTCTGTGAACACCACTAGCCCTTAAACCACGCGTAGGATTTTTTCCGAAAGGAATATTCCCTGGTCGATGTGGATCGTCTCAAGGCGCTATGATTTTCGATTTTTTTCAAAAAGTCTCCAATTTTTTCTTTACATTTCTTGTAAGAATAGAATAATATACCCTTCTAAAGTCCAATTTTCAGAATTAACTGAATTTTCGAAAATTTTGAAAAATTTTGGGTGTCTTCCTACAATTACAAAATTGAAGATAGAGATTCTTCCTTCAAATATAATTTGTTCTCCATAGTGGGATCTATCATTAATGTCGTACATTTTTTGAAAATGTTAGTAGTTTTCGCGCAAAATTGCGAACAGTATATGCAATTTTAAAGAATTCCGTAATTATGATGGTTTTATAAACTGCTCCAAATTGTATCTACGCATTTTTGGTAGGAATAGTGCTGTATATACCCTGAGATAACAAAAACCTCAGTGTGCTCTATTATTTTTTTCAAAAATTACAAAAAATTAATTTTTGTCTATTGTCTCTTACGTTATTAATATTTACATTAGTGGCGATTTGTGCACATTATTTACAGCACATACTTTAAAAAAACTCGAAAAGAACACAGTTTTCTGTGAAAACTAGATCAAAATTCCGCATTTCCAGAAACGCACTAACGCCATATTCTAAAAAATGGCTGCAATTTTTTTCTTCAAATTTTTCGAACGGTTAGTGCTCATTGGTCTATTTAATATGACAATGATTATTTAGTGGTATTTTTCCTTTTCTCAAAAATTTGTCAAATAATTTTTTGAAAGATATCTCACGCCGAGAGAATCCCTTGCATTTGGATCTGAATCTTTAATTGTAGTTTTTAGTCATGAATATATAACACTGACTGAGACTAGTCTTGATTCTGAAAATAAATAAAAAATTAAATTGTTTAAAAACCTTGATAATATTTTTTAAATCCGTAATATCATTTTCTATTTGACATTACAGTTTTTCTCAAGAGCGATGTTTTGAAAATGTAGGTTTATAGATTTCCTCGGGACCATTGACTTACAGCACTACGATTTCGTATATAGGCGTTTGAGCAAAACTAGTGATACAATATGGCGGCGGGCGCATTCGTCCGGCTTCAAAAAGAGTCGTTAATTGCCAGACTATTACTTCAACGCTGCATTTTCTCCACCAAAAACGAACAATTTCTAATAATTAAGGGAACCGAATCTTTCGGTTAGTGAACTGGTAAAATGATCCTAGTTATCATACTTCAAGCGAACAATAATACAAGAAATAACACAAGTAATAAATATGACATCACAGTAACGTCGTTGTTGCACTGATTTCAGCGGTGTTGAATTTCACTGATGTATACCACGTAACGCTTTCAGCGCTAACTGTAGACAAAAATCGCCTAACGTGAAGAAGTTTCCGATCAGCAGACAATTGATATTTTGCGCGCAATACTGAAAACAGGAAAATGTTTGCAATACTTTAGAGGACGTAGGTTGCTTGTCCCAGGCTTCAACTATCTTCCGATGATGAACGCATCATATACCTTAGTCCACCACGTAACACTTCATAAGTTGCGCTGAATTATCAAATACTTCTACTCGGGCCTTCTAGGTAGTAATTGCGTCAGTGCAGGCGCGGGGACGTGCTCACACTAACAGATGAGAACACATTTGACTAAGGCGACTCGGTTCTTTCGCAGCACCATCACAAAGAGCTGAGGCTTTAAACGATGACCAAATTACCCGCTGACAACTTCAAGCAGAACTTCCAAAACTATCATGTTCCGCCCAGTTTCGTTCCTTTTTTCTTTTGACTGATGCACTCAATTGCAACCAATTTTGTGTCAGGTCATTTTTGTTAGAGATAATTATCTCTTATCAAAAGATAAAAAAGTATTCAATTTTTAGCACATTATGTACCTAATTACTAATCAAAATCGTAGTTGAAATAAAAATAATATAATTTTTCCTTTTTTCTCTTCTTGTAAGGGCGAGTAATTTCATTGTTAATCAATGTTAATTTTTAATTGAACGAATTGGGTAATGCATTTAATTAAGTTACTATTTACTACTGTATCTTTCGATCAGTGTATTAACTTGAGTAAAGTAAAAAAATCACTAATAAAACAACAAAAGCAAAACTTAACAGTTCTGGCATTTTTAGTAACCCATAATATTAATTTACTTATTCTGTGATTCAAATAGTTCGTTTTTCATTAATTAGGAACTATAACAACTGGATGCATCATCATTGAGAAGTTCCATTAAGTGCCACTTGTGCTGTCCGCACCGGCACTCCTGCCCCCCGCCACCTGTCGCTTTCCCTATGCTTCGCCTTGGCGAAGGAGGCAGGGGGCACGTGAGGCTGAGACGTCAGGCGTTGCAGCGTACACATTTACGAGGGTCCCTCCGAAAGCAACATGGCCTTCAGGGACCAGCCAATCTGGTGCCAAGTTGTGGATAATTTTAGGACCCTAGTGATTTTGCAATCTCATGTCCGTGATGAACAGATTCAGAATATAAATGTTTCTATTCTCAAAAGTATTCCGCCGTGAAACAAATTTCAATAAAATGTATACTTCCGGACCAAGAAATGTAAAGATTATTTCACTCGGCTGTCTTTACTTATCAATTTCGTACATTTCAAAATACTCGTTCAGTAAAGATAATTGGCACTTTACGCAATTTTTTTAAAAAGCTCATTTTTATAAAAGATTTATTCAACTATTCTAATTAGTTTTACCAATATTCGTCGTACCATCCAACATTGTCAGTTTCCTTTACTGCGAAAATTTAATAAATAAACCAGTACACGAATGGGCAGTAGGATTCTTCGCCCTGTGGACGGGGCCACAGCATACATCATACTTATACATCATACTTTAGCCATACTTGTGCTACCTATAACGTGTTATTGTCAAATAAAATATAGTGGATTTTGTACACAATAACCATGAGTGATGTTCGACGAACTCATATAAGAATATAAAAGCCCATATCTTAAATTTTTTCCAAGGAAGTCCAAGACATTTGGACCTATATATGGTCCTATATATTTATGTCCAATTCATAAACAAATATGGTAATTCACGGAGAAAAGCATGTACGAAGACGAGTTCACCTGAGAAATATTTTACAGTATCAAGGTTCTTAAACCTGACGTTAACATTTTAAAACACCCTCTCAAACTGAGGCTACTTTGCATTGTATTAAACGTATGACACAAAGTAGAACCTAAATTGTTTGTACAAAGAAATCATCAGAGGTATAATGTCAGATCACGTCTGAAGATTTCTTCGTACAATTTCAGTGTATGGACCAAGGGAAAATAAGAGGGGTACGATTTGCGTCTTTGTAATTTACCAAAAAACATACAAAAAAGAAGCGCAGCGCCATGTAACATTATGAAACGACTTAGCTAGGTCTTTATCATCTTCGTAAATGGTCAATTAGTTAATCGCCACTGATATCACGCACACATCAATACACAGACTTCTTACGCCAATTCAGTTACGTTTTCACTCT